TTCAGTAAAAACCGAGATTGACGATCAATATTAGGTAGAAGAAACATTATATTAAACAACCTGTTAGATTCTATGCCTGATTTTTTTTTTTTTTTTTCTATTTTTTTTTATTGCCTTTGTAGGCAGACGAGCATACGGCCCACCTGATGGTAAGTGGTCACCGTCGCTCATGGACGTCAGCAATGCCAGGGGCAGAGCCAAGCCACTGCCTACCATAATTTAACTAAGTTTATAAATTAAGAGTCGTGCATGAATAGAATTTCAGTAAAAACCGAGATTGACGATCAACATTAGGTAGAAGAAACATTATATTAAACAACCTGTTAGATTCATGATTAAAATTGTTTTATCAAGTTTTGAAACTAGAATACAGTATAAACTGTTGTTGCATTTTAAATGTTTGACATTTACATAATTATTTTTAAGCGTATAATCAGCCTCCGGTTGCCATATCATCATCAGCCTGTATCTCTCAACTGCTGGATGTAGGCCTCTCCCATAGTCCGCGACAGTGAACGATCCTCCGCCTTCCGCATCCAATCTTTCCCAGCATATCGCCGCAAGTCATCGGTCCAACGGGCAGGGGGACGCCCAATGCTGCGCTTACCGGTACGCGGTCTCCAGTCCAGAACAAGTCTGCTCCATCGGCCATCGGTTCTGCGACACGTATGTCCCGCCCATTGCCGTTTCACCTTGCTAATCTTTAGGGCTATGTCGGTTACTTTGGTTCTTTGACGGATTTCATCATTTCTGACTCGATCCATCAAAGAAACTCCAAGCATACACCTTTCCATAACACGCCGAGCGACTTTGAACTTACGGACCAAACATACGGTGAATGTCCACGTTTCAGCGCCATGTGTCATGACCGGCAGCACGCAAGCGTTGAAGGCTTTTGTCTTTAAGCATTGCGGGATTGCAGAGCTCAAGCTATGACGGAGTTTTCCATACGCAGCCCAGCCCAACTGTGTGCGCCTATCAGCTTCCTTCTCAAAGTTGGCCCTGCCCAGCTGAACAATTTGGCCTAGATAGGTGTATTCAGACACAACTTCGAGTACCGCCGATTCGACTATTGCAGATCCAGGAATGATATGGTCGTTGAACATGACCTTAGTTTTATCCAGATTCATTCCCAGACAAACACGTCGTGACGCGGCATTGAGCTCACCCAGCATACAGCTGAGATCCTCCGGTTGCCATAGTACAGATAATTCTAGACCAAATAAGCACATTATGTGTATGTGATTATTTAATAAAAATAACCAGTTTTTTTGCCGAACAATCTTGGAAACTGATCGCTACACTGACGACTCTTTTTTTATTTTTTTATTGCTTAGATGGGTGGACGAGCTCACAGCCCACCTGGTGTTAAGTGGTTACTGGAGCCTATATACATCTACCACGTAAATGCGCCACCCACCTTGAGATATAAGTCCTAAGGTCTCAATGTAGTTACAACGACTGCGTCACTCTTCAAACCGAAACGCATTACTGCTTCACGGCAGAAATAGGCAGGGTGGTGGCACCACCTACCCGCGCGGACTCACAAGAGATCCTACCACCAGTAAAATTGTATTGCTCAAATTGTAAATCTAATTCATACAGGAACCACTAAAAATAAACTTTTCTATCAAAGCCATATTTTCGGAGCAGTCAAATCACAAAATAGCCCCCATGATCATTTAAGATGTATTTGCTTACAGAAATGTTTGTGGCTATGAAGAATGCCAAAAAAACGAAAGAAAACAGCGAAGCAGATATGGTTAACGATGGTGAAGACGATTCAACAAATAACGATGATGAAACAAACAAAGCAACTTCCATGTTTGCAAAATCAATTAAATCGGACAAATCTACCAACGCTAGAACCATACTTGCCAAAGAATCTTCCAAAGATTCTAAGCAATTTGTAGAAAAATGAATAATAAATAGGATTTATGTATTTGTGTGTTATATATTTTGTCTTTTAATAAAGCTTAGTATTAATAACTTATTCTCATATGAGATGTATTTGCTTTTAATTATTTAACTTTAACAAATTTTAGACGAAGGCTTCAAATCGTCCTTGGGGTGGCTTTGCCTAATGCCAAATTAGACGTAATGAACTTCAACATAAAAATCGTTAAGTTACGTTTCGTTGCGTTACGTTACGTTTCGTTGCGTTACGTTACGTTATGTTATCGAGACGCTATTGTGTCGAACAAATAGGGGCTATCTGTGTGTCGAACCTTAGAAAAGGTATATGTCCAGCAGTGGATGGCTGTGGACCGATGACGATGATGAAGAAGGAAGTTTGTTGTATATTTTTGGAAACCTTTCGTTTTTATTTAACTTATTCAAATTTTTAAGTGGAACATATAGTATATGAGCATAAATTAATAATATTTGGTTGCGTTATAAATTAAAGCAAAGCTTTAAGAATATTATTAATAAAAATAATGTTGCATTCAATGCTTTTTATCAGTTTTTTGTCAATTAATGTCCGAAATATTAGCAAAGGACAATGCCCAAAAGTGGGCCAACTTCATGACAAAACTATTTGTACTTGAAAAACTATGCCTTATTTTTTCATGTTGTTTAGTTTATGTATCAACATTTCTTTCACCCTGGCATTGTTTTACAAAAAATTAAATTACTTAATTGATAACATCCCAAAACTGAGTGCCATAGTTTTTAAATTCGCCAATAGACAAAGGGAAAATTAGCCCATACAGCCTTATAGTAAACTTATATGCTGACAAACGAAAGAGTTGTCTGTGACTTGAACAACAAATAAAAAAAATTGCTAATGGTTATAATTCACAGACTTTTTAGTTTATTGTTGTTCAATTCAATATTTATGTATTGTAATAATGATTATTACTTAAAACCATGAATTATTTAATATTTTTAGATATTAATGATTCCATTAGTAAAAATCTCAATGGCCTACCATTACTCTATTCTTATTATATATGATCAGAGAGTTTTGGCAGCAACCCGAGTGAAGCGTCACTTGAAGTTTTATTTTATGTTTTTGTAATAGCTTATTGTGATGTATAATATACAAATTGGGTGTTGTTTTGTGTATTAAATGTCAATAATCGTTGTTCACGATTATTGAGGCATTGGAATAAAACTGTGGCTAACATAGCAGTGACTGTTTTTTTTTTTCAAGATAAAAGGTCTGCGGAAATTCACGCTCACTCAATGTGCTATTCATCAAGTTGACGTCAAAACTCCCAAAAAGCAATAAAAAGAAATACACCGGATTTTTATTAACATAAAAAATATATAAAAAATTTAACTATGACAGACTAGGCTGTATAGGCTACGCTCTTTGCCTGCTTGTTGGCGAATTTAAAAACAACAACAACAATATCGTTGCCGGCTTCCGGATTTCATTTCATTTTATTATTATTATGAGGATATAATAATAATATAATGTACGTAAGGGCTTATTTCTAGCAACATTAACCACAATTCACTTATTTAATACTGTAAATAATGATGAGAGCGATTATTGATTTCGAAGAAAACAATTAACAACTTAATTTTAGTTGCAGAAAAAAACAGATTTCTCTTAAACCTGGGTGAGAATATAAAAATCGTTTTCTGAATATGAAACGATATTTCTTTGTCTATCAAAGTTAAAATCATCATCACCCGACAACTTTTTTAGGGGCCCAAACGCCCATAGAAAATGGGCATTGTCCTTTAAACAATTTTAATTCATTAGTTCCAAATTTAAAATATTATTCTGTGATGAAATGGAGCATACCAAACTGTTGCAATTCTAAATTATCGCGCTAAAAATTCTAATCGGGGGTATTTCGTGTTCAACTTTCTATTTTTGATAAATGTAGATGAGTTACAACTGGGTTATTGCACGTTTAATATTATTAATTCACTATGTTGTAAATTGTATAAGGATTTGTGTTTTTCATTAGGATTTGAGGGAACTTCTTTTTCTTATTCTCACTTCGTTTTCTTCAAAACTGGGGGTCATGACTACCTCCTCGAAACAAAAGTTTATTACGGATCATTCCACGCCATTTGCTCCTATCTGCCGCCGAGTGTAGAGCATCGTGAACTGTGGTGTCGAGGGTAGTGCAGATCTGGTCAGTCCAACGTGTCGGGCCTCTACCTCGTGGTCTTCTTCCGTTAACCTTGTCAGTCACCATTAGCTTCCTCAAGCTACCGTTATCCTTTCTTGCAATGTGGCCAAAGTACTCCAGAACTCTACGTAGGCAGATCGCAGAAAGCCTCGTCTTTTCTGAGTTATTGGAGGATCGACACGTTATTGAATTACGTGTTTTTGCTTAAAGAAATAACCTCATTAAACCTCATTAACCTCATTAAAATCTAACAGGCTTTTTGGTTCTTCAAAAAGGCTGCCTACCTGAGCTGTATCTGCTGTTTAATGCAATAAAAATACCTATCTAGGTATACATAAATCTAGTATTTCGTATGTCGCGTATTTTCTATAGTACGTATACTAATTTTCGGTACACATTTTAATTGTGGAGAGTTGCTTGCACGGCTCTATTGTTCATAAAGTTCATCATCATGTTGTTTTGCTGATTTTTTTTATTGCTAGATGGGTGGACAAGCTCACAGCCCACCTGGTGTTAAATGGTTACTGGAGCCCATAGACATCTACAACGTAAATGCGCCAACCACATTGAGATGTAAGACAGACGAGCATACGGCCCACCTGAAGGTGAGTGGTTACCGTCGCTCACGGACGTCAGAAATGCCAGGGGCAGAGCCAAGCCGCTGCCTACCAATACTTAATACTCTCCACAAGCCTCGTTTGTAGGCTCGAATATTCAACGAAAATATCGAATTTCCAAAGAGAACATAATAGCTATATAGTAGATACTGTTTACATATCGAATTGACAACTTCAATACTTTGAAATCAAAGAGAATATAAACAATAATTTATTTTTACTCGAAACTCGATTATTTTTGACAGTAAAATTTGTAACATAGCACAAATAAAGTAAAAAAATAAGAATGGAATTTAACAAGGACCTTCCGAAGAAACGACAATTACCAAAACTGATGGCATGCATGACTAAAACAAGCCTGGAAAATTTGAGAAATAAAGCATTATTTAACTTAGATACATTAGATGCAAAGAGTATTCGGAGGTAAGATTAACTAAAGCAGAAAATTAAAATTAGTTACTTTGCCAACTGTGTACCTAAATCATTGTCCAGTCTTTTTTCCATTTCGTCGAGGGTTTTGTCTAAAATGTTATGTTTATGTTTTGCCACTTCCGATACGATACATAAATAGATTCCCCAAAACTTTTGACAGTATGTCGAAATTCTCGGTGTGCTTTCTTTTCATTCTTTTTCCTACTAGATATACTACATTGATTTAGAGACTTATGAGCCTAACAGACACAGAGATAGGACCTCCGATCATCTGAAAACTGCCTTGCCTGGTGAGTGGGTACATTGTGAGCCCCAATCTATTAAATCAAGTAAGATGGACACCTAAAACAGTAAAAATACACTGGGTGCGAGATAGATTTTTGTTTTCCCAAAGATTCTCAATTTGTTCACGTGTTTAGGCTTGTTTCTTACCAATTACTCCTTAGCTAAACAACTTTAGAGATCTTGATTTAAATACTTCAATACTTTGGGATATATCTCAAGGCAACCTTCTAGAACTTAGGTAGCGTGACATGTCTCGGCGGTCAAGTAAAATGTGTTTTCTTGGGGAAATTAAACATTAATTTATAAGCCCATTTGGAGGCCTTGACACTTCTCTATTTAGTGTGAAAGTTTTGATTGCTTTTCCACAAATGTATTCCAAGGAGTATCTATTGGTCAAGTCTTATTTCATCATCCATCAAGAAATTTACTGTAGTTGCTTACACTAAAATTAATTTGTATTATTATTCCTAACATTGAAACTAATTCTCCACCGGAAATATTACAGATCATTAAGATTAAGGTCTTCAACAAATAAAAAAAACAAATCATAAACAAAAAATATTGTCTAGTGTTTTTTGTGGTCTTAATTGGGCAGATAATTTTATGAACTCTAGCGACTTCTTAGTTGTATTCTATTGACAGACGCCCATTGAGATTGACTTTTACGATTATTACTGGATTTAGCCAGATAGGCAACAAAAACATCTAACAAATGTTAATATTTTAACCATACTCCCATACTTAAAAATTACAGAGTCGTGGTTAATCACCATCAAGTTTTTTGCAGGCGAAAATTACCGCTGCACGAGTGTCTAATTTTAGAGCTGCGCGAATCAGGATACACTGAGTCTTCGGATTATTTAGAAGATCTTATTTATGATAACGTCCAATTACTTACTGACGATGATATTGGAATCGTTGTGGATCTAAGACAAAGAAAAGATTACTTGGAACACATTTGCGAAAAACTGCAGAAAGCTGAAAAATATCGAGATAAAGGTGGTGTAGTGTAAAGGTGTAACGTTTTAGCAAACTTTGAAAATTGGATTATTTACTATAATTATATTACATTTATAATATTCTTAAATAGATGGATAATATAAGTATTAAAAACCAGTTTAAAGTAGCTTGCTTCGGATGCAAATATCTAAGTTATTCCTGAATTGTAATTATAGATGACACGAAAAAGGAATGTTTAGAACTTCTGAACTTAGCGTTACACTATGCCGAAGAAGGTAAAGGTATCTTATGGCTGGCTGAAAAATTTTTTTTGGCGTCTATAGCAGTCGGCAGCCAGTATCTTGTAGATGGAGGTCGCCAAAAGGGCTGTTGTAAATATCACTACGCGAAATTTCTTCTCGACAAATGTAAGTTGTACTTAACGTTAAACATATTTTAGAGATCAGATCGGTATGTTGTTGGGTTTTATTGTAACGTATTATATTTTCCACTCTTGTTGACATGTTATACAGTCTTGACAGATAAAATGTTGGTGATTTATCCTATAACTACACAAAAGTAATCATTAGTAAAAGTGAAAACAGAGTGACTTTAATTCTGTGCAACCTTTTATATTATGTTAATAGTATGAACAAATAAACGGATAATGAATAGTCACTGGATAATTAGCCGTAGATAGAGCATATTAAGCTCTTAATTAAAAATAACAAGAACAATGGTCTCGTTTGTTTTATTACTACTACACCGTGCTGAGCTAAAGACCACCACCGTGTTGTTGAATTAAATGAAATTTAATAGTACCCATACACATTTATGTATACATAATTTTGTTGCGTAGAACAGACCGTAGTCTATTTGATGTTAAGTACTTACCGGAACTTATACGAGAGCATAAGTTAAAGTTTCAGTACTAAATTACTTAATATATAAAGCATTTAAAGGTGCTTATTACGTATCAATTGAAGCATCTGCCACAGACAAGATAGGCACGGTAAACTTCTTTCATTTCACTACTTCACAAGTATACATATACAGAGTGCCATTTGGTTAGCATCAGAAAATGTCATATTATCACAAACTTTGCTTTTTATCCATTTGGTGTAATATATTGGTAAACAAGTTCACAGCCTACCTTCATTACAAATTTTTTAAAGTATTCGAAATGTTGAAAGTTATATATTGAAACTAGCGACCCGCCCTCGCTTCGCTTCGGAAACATTAAAACACACATGAAACAAAAAAATAAAATAATAAAAAATTAAAAAAGTAGCCTATGTTCATCAGGGACAATGTCGGCTTCTAATGGAAAAAGAATTTTTCAAATCGGTCCAGTAGTTTCGGAGCCTATTCGAAACAAACAAACAAACAAATCTTTCCTCTTTATAATATTAGTATAGATTGCATTTCATATAGTTCAATTAGTTGTGTGGAAGATTTCTTTAAATACTACCTACACATTTTATGATTTAGTTCCAGGTGCAGATACCGACGAACCGTTCGAAATGCTCACTGAAGTCAGAGATAGTGCCATTGGGAAGGTAATTTATTCTCATCACTTATTCTTTTAATTTGCATTTAGGGATTAGTGGAAGTTGCTCGATAGCTGTGGCATATGGTTGGATAGCCACAATTTCATCTTTCGTATTAAGCGTTCCAAATCTAAGTTATTTAAGTAAGTTCTTTTTTTATTCGACCATTTTTGAAGACAATATTTCTTTAATAATTGATATTTAAAATTTAGTTCAGCGGTTTTGATCACATTGCGATTCCATATAAAAACGATTTTCTCTGAAACTTTATTTTAAGTCATAGTTTCGAGATATCTTCAGGTCATTGTCTAATAAATTAGTCATGGATTGATTAAATTAAACAGAAACATTAAAGCAAAGCAAGCAAATAACAAGTTTCTTGAAAATATCGGAAGATTAAAGTTCGTTCGTTTTTAACATAGCAATCATTTATATTACTGACTATTGATGACTGACTCTCATTGTACCGTGGGTCTGCCCGTTTCTACTTAATTGGGAATAATGTAAAAGTATTTGGATTGCTAAATCTTACAATCCACATACTTTATCTCTTTTTATCTCAAATATTTTATCTCTTTTTCAAATAAGTCGCTAGGTAAAAAGGGATAGGTTAAGTTATGAGGTATAAGTATAGTTAGGAAGCGCCGTTTTGGGATCTAGCAGCTGCCTGCATTTCATGTAAAATCTTTGTCCCAAACCTAAACCCCCAACCTGTCGGATGATTTGAAGATCTCAACCTAGGTTCAGATGATTATTGTTGAGTAACAGATTGAGTCGGTTCTCCTGCATGCGTGCAACGTCTTTCGCCTTCAACAGATGAAAGATCGGCGATTTCATCCTAATAAGAAAATAAAAATGGTAGTGTAAGGTAGAGGGAGAAGAGGTTGACAGAAGAAGACATTGTGTGAATGACGATTATGAGAGAAAGAGGAGTGAGTGTTGAGATGGCGGCTGATAGAAGAGAATGGAATAGAAAAAATCGCTGTGCCGACTCCACCTAGTGGGATAAGGTGGAGAAAAAGAAGAAGAAAATAGTCGTGTATTCTTTTATTGAAAGCAGTAGATAATCTTATAATAATATAGAATAGATATAAAATAGATATATAATATAATAGAATAGAATCTTATAATAAGCTAGTAGAGCGAATGGAACAGTTTAAAATCTTATAACTTGGTCTTTTTAAAATACAATCATCGACTTACTGTCATGATTCTTAAACGAACCCAGAACAAGCAGTTGATAAGCAAATCAACAATTAGACAGAGAAACTACTAAAATGTTTATTTGATTCTGGGTATATCCTAAGCTGGTGCTTATAAATTCCTAATTGGTTGTAAGATTCTAGCGATATCAAAAATTCTTCGTAAATATCTTCGATGTACAGACAAATATGGTTACAGTTTTCCAAAGTAAATGTAAAAATAATAAATACACGATAATACAAACATAATGAATTGCGTCAAGGATGGATATTTATGATTAATCACTCAAGTTGTAAATATCTTCTGCGTATTAAATTGTTATGGCGGTTTTAAAGCTCATATTGCGTTAATTTTTATGTTAGCGAACAAAAAAAGCTACAATTTACAAGATCCGTTTTAACATAACCTAAAACCAGTTAATCTGGAAGTCATTAAAAATCGGAGATTGGAAATCAGCGTTGTATTAGCAATCCACAACAACATCGTGAGATGATACGTTTAAACAATTTATGTTTCACAAATACGTTGAATATCTTAAATTATAAAAACTTTTTCGCAAACTAAATAAGGGCTATTATATAATAAAAAATTGATGTTTCCTAGATTTGGCCTCTTCATGAACCAGATAGCGACAATGAGGATGTACCAAGTGAAACGTTATTCTCTGCTACTGCTATGCAATTACACAGGGTACTTTTGACTAAGGCTAGATCGATTCGTAAAAGTGATCCTGCTAAAGCTGAGAGACTGGCAAGGCTTGCCGAAAGAAGAGCCAATGACGGTTAGTTTTACGTAATGGTACAAAATAAATTAGCATACGTATGAACATGTTAAAGATTTTTTTGGTACGTTCGGACATTTACAAAATTCTAAATTTATAAGCGAAATGCCACTCGTTCATAACGAGACCTTCGAGACCTTCCGTCCGATAGATTTTAAATTTGGCGTTGATACTCTTTTTGAGGTGACTAGCTAAGAATGGTTTTTATGTAAGCCACTTTTACGACTTTTATTGCATGGGTCAACGAACTTACGCAGTGTATCATAATGTGATGCTGCCAACCATCTTGAGTTCTATGTGTCAATTGTATTGTAATTAGGCAAAATATAATTTTTGGGAGTTTGATTTTTATTACACCATAATAATATAATTCCTTTATCGTTGAAGTAATTCGTGAACGTGAGTATGTATTTCATAAATAAAATTGAATTCTGCCTGCGGGATTAGAACACCGACGTAATCGCATAGCTTGATACGATTTTACCAGGTGTGTTATCCTTTCGGTACTATATAACTTTACAACATAGTAATAAAAAACGACAGTACAGTACGGTATGTTTCAATGGATTTATAAATCAGTACAGAGAGTAACACCAGCAATTCTTTATCCCGGAGTAAAGCATGTGCTTCATTCTTTGATTTTAGATGTAACTTTATTACATACTTTATTTATTTCAATATTTCAGCTGATGAAACAACTAAAACGGCAGAAGCTATTGTAGAAATCGGAATTTGTCAATTGTCTATGAACAACTTAAATAATGCTCAGAAGTCATTTGAACGAGCGTTCAAAATTTATACGGATAGTCAAAATATAGAAGGAATCTGTGAAACAAAAATGCATTTGGCTGCTGTGTTGCAGAGGTTTGGTAATACAACATTTAATAAAAGCAAAATTTAAATGAAAAAAAAAAAAAAAACAAAATTATGTTGAACGCTCTTTTAGTGGCCACTTCAGGCTCTATGCTCTATGTTACTGACGAGTATATTTACCTGAGGCTAATTGTTCATTTAGGTAGGTTAAATTTCGAAATAGTCAATCCTCGAATTTAACTTGAATTGGCAGTGCTCGGAAAGCTATGTAAATTCTTCTCATCAGAAACGTTATCACAGTGTCTCAAGACGAATGTCTTTGACCAATGTTGATGTCAGTGATGACTTAAGTCGTCAGACGTGGTTGCTAACAAAGAACCTTATCAGAAAGCTTAAGGTCATCCAAAGAGCAATAAGAGGACTATGTTCCAAGTTTTTTATCGAGACCAAATCAGGAAAGAGGCGCTGAGACGTTGAGGTGGCAGTGGTTAGGACACATCGCTCGTAGAATAGATTGCCGTTGCTGCCGATAAATTCTCGAGTTGCGATTGCGTACCGAAAGACGTAGCGTGGGTAGGCCTCCTGCAAGGTGGACTGACACCTTGCTGAGGGTCTCGGAAAGCAGCGTAGGATGGATTGTTGTTATGAGGCTTGGGGGAGACCTATGTCCAGCAATTGACGTTTGTGAGTTAAAGAAAGTTTAAATTTTACTAAGTCAATGCCGGTCGTGATGGATGTAATATGCTCTGCGTCAACCCTGTCCCGCCGTCTCAAGCAGCCCCGACTGGGCCCCGGCCCGGTCCGGGATAGGCCGCCGGCTGTGAGCGGCAGAAGTGCTTAGTGAGGCTCAACTCTCACATACCCCATCCGCCGCGCTGTTGAGTATCCGGTGATATTCTCCTGTAAAAAAAATAAGCCAGTGCCAGTAAAATTATAAGTTATTATGCATAAATGTGTGAATAATGCGATGTATGTACATACATATATGTATACAAACGGGCAAATACAGAGTAGTTAAGAACCATTTCGGTTATTTTTATTTTGTTTAGTAGCAAATATATATGGTTTGGCTTTGGTATTATTAACAAAATAAATAAACTCAGCGGCACGGAATGTGGCCCAAGCGCTTTATGTGGTTTATTATCAAAATTAAACGCGACACAAGGTTCTTTTTTTGTGGTAAAAATTAATACTTTATTTGGAACTTAAATGCAAGTGATTAATTAACAAAAAGCGAGTTAAACTTGTTAAAATTTGTGAAAATTAAAAAAGATCATTACAGCTCAATGTTTAAAAAAAACGTTTGTTTTTTTTTACAAAATTAGGGTTTGTTACTTAAAATTAATAACGGGTATTCCCACCTCTGGCCCTGATAACCGCCTGCATACGATCAGGTATGCTATGGATAATGTTTTTAATGTCCACCTGGGGATTTCTTCCCAGGCGGCCACCAGGGCGGTTTTCAACTGACTGATGGTCTCTGGAGGGCTGGGACTGGATCGAATTCACCTTTTAAGCATATCCCAGACATGTTCTATGGGATTCATGTCTGGACTTCGTGCTGGCCACTCCAATTTTTTGATGCTCACCTTCGACAGGTAATCATCGACGCAACGTGCTGTGTGAGGTCGGGCATTATCTTGCATGAGGATGAAATCTTCGCCCCCGATGAATCCCACGAATGGTAAAACATGTTCCTGAAGGATCTCTTCAATGTATCGCACTGCTGTTAGACGACCTTCAACAATTACCATCTCTGTGTGTGTGTCTGAAGAGATACCTCCCCAAACCATAACGGACCCACCGTGGAAACTGACGGTTTGCTTGGTAGTGATTGGCAGAAACCTCTCCCCATGCCTTCTCCACACACGCTCGCGTCCGTCTGGAGTTCTTAAGGCTACTCGGCATTCGTCAGTCCACAGAACGTTACTCCACTGCTCGTGAGTCCACTGCGCGTGTTCACGAGCGAACCGTAGTCGAGCTACGCGATGGTGTCGGAGCAATTCTGGACCACGAGCTGGTCTTCGAGCACTTAGATTTTGTTCCTCCATTCACCTTCTTATTGTTCGCTTACTTATGTTGATTCCTGTTGAAATTTGTAGCCGCTGCCGAATTTCGACTACAGTAAGGAACCGATTTCGCAAAATTGCGAGAGTAATAAATTGGTCATCTCGCACTGATGTACACCTAATACTGCCACTACCTGGTCTATTTCTGTATAGACTGGTCTGGTAGTACCTTGTTAAGGCGTACCTGAGAATTGTATGCGGTACATTTAAAGTTTAAGCAATTTCTCGCTGCGTTCGCCCCTGATTTCTAAGTAACACAGCCTGAGCAACAGCTTGAGCAGGTGTTAGGGTCATTGTTTTCCAATTCTTGGAGCATAAATTACTACCGATTAATAAAAATATTAAGCATTAAAGATTAAATGCACGACTATTGGAATATCTAATTTTAACTCACCCGTCTTTTGTCCGTTTCACTAACGAACTAACGTCAAGTGTCACAGAAATGAAACAAATGAACATTTTTGAGGGCTTACCCTCTTAAATTAACAAAAAAAAAATGGTTCTGATAAATTGCCACTCGAAATTCTCATACGCGTCACAAAAATAGCCTGTTATTGGTCTGATTAGGTTTGGGGTGGGTTTGGGGTGGGTTTGGGCCATATTCCGTGCCGCTGACTGTACATAACTATATTTTCATCTATATTTTTTCATAAACATTTGGAGGTCTGTAGAGACAGATATCTTTTTGTAATATCGTAATGTAATTTAGATAAAAATATATTTGTAAATACAGAAAATAATTTTGGGTATTAGAATGAATCGAGTATTTTATGTTACCGGATATTGGAGTCATTGAACTGTATTGACCTGAGTTTAGTGTGCAAATATTGCTTTATTCACACGTGCTTTGAGACATAGATCCTTTTGTTGGGAAGTTTTAAGCTGTCTTGAAAATCTTTTCTACTTATATGTATTATCAAATTGTAAATTAACTAAATAACCTTTTTGAATAAAACACCACCACCAAAAGTGCTATAGGGTATAATAATCTAACAAAACTTTTACGGGATATTGGTGTCATTGAACTGTATTGACCTGAGTTTAGTGTGCAAATATTGCTTTATTCAAACGTCCTTTGAGACATAGATCCTTTTGTTATGAAGTTTTAAGCTATCCAGAATATTTTTTTTACTTATATTGTCAAATTGTAAATGAACTAAATTATATTTTTGAAGAAAACACCACCCACCAAAAGTGCTATAGGGTATAATCTAACAAAACTTTTACGTACGCATTATGTCCCAGCTCTTGTGGTTATGATCCTGGATCGCCTTCTTGTATATTCTATTCCACTTGCAACCGAAGTTTAGCTCATTCCTACTACCTTATTGCGTTCATGTGCAAGTATTTCCAATGATCAATCCTGCACTAAATTTTTCAAACTGAATTATTTACCTACTTTGTCTCCATTTTTGTTTTGGCGCCTTTGTACTATTTATGACAATCTCAGTGTACCACCTACAGAAGTTAATTTGTAGTTTTTCAATTTTTTGAGATCTACACAAAAACTTCTTAATCGAATTCGTTTCGTAATTTCTGATGGTTATTTTTTTGCAGCTTCGTCATTAATTTACTGGTAAATATTATCTAGTTAATCGACTTTTGATAACATAGCTGCCGAAGTCACATTATTTATTAAACCGGATTACTTAATGTGATGTAAATTACTTTGTACGTAGTATGTTGTAGGAGCGTAATTCGGGCATGCTAAAAAATACACGTGTAGTTGTATTAATATGTATATTGTACATCCTGATGTTAGTATCAGTTAAACTACCGTATCGTGCTAGTAGGTTTAATTAACTTTATACTAAGTAAAGACAGCAACATTTTGCGGGCCTCTTCCTTAAATATTCTCAAACCTTATGAATTTTAATTAAATGCCAACAATATTGAGTTTTTTATTATAATGTGGAACATAACAGGTTTGTGGTTTAAATTAGATAAACTTTTGTTAACTATTTTAACGGCTTAATCTCATGTTTTATTCAGTTTTCTATTCCCATAATTATTGGCACTTCAAATATGTAAGTTATGTTACGTCATTTTGAGGTTTCGTGGTAAAATTGTGACAATAAGACTAGTAGAATATAAGGGTCCTTAGAGAAAGTATTTGGATAGCCTATCTAAATCCTCTCCCTCTATACCCAGTGCCTACTGATGGAATAGTCTTAATAACATTTTTACAGTATTAATTTAAAACCATTCATTTCAACACGGATGTCGTCAATGTCAATGACGTCTTCTTGGCTTAAAGGATAATACGCCCGGTGACCTCGTATCGGGCGATACCCAGACAACGGGACGACGAACAATCCCACAGATACAGCCCACTGAGTTTCTCGCCGGATCTTCTCAGTGGGTTGCGTTTCCGATCCGGTGGTAGATTCCGCGAAGAACTGCTCTTGCTAGGGCCAGTGTTAGCAACACTTCGGTTTGAGCCCCGTGAGCTCACCTACACGTTAGGACGAAGCTGATATAGCTTCTCAAGGCTATCAGCATAGGTAGGAAAAAAAAACGAACAACCGTCGCCGTCGCCACAGATATGTCCTTTCGGATTCTATCTATTTATTCCCTGAGGCTTTAGGCATTTGAAGCTCCGGTCATCTTTCTCGTTGTATTCGTCGAAGGCGACGAAGAAGACCTCATTTACCTAATGATGAAAAAAAAAATAGTTGAATGTTTGTATTCAATCAATAACTGGTCCAATCCGTATATGTATGTAAGATATTTGGTATTACGTGTTTAATTGTACTTGACGTATCTCGTATATATTACAGCCACTTATAAGACCGGTTTTTTTTAGCATGGAAAGGTTTATTGTGATTGCATTTATTATTATTACACCATGTATTCAAACTCGAAATAGAGTCGTGGGCTTAAAAAACATTTAATACCAACATTATATAACGATTAATTAAAAAAATATGATGGACGATTTATATTGAAATTTGAATATTCTAATCATATAAATTATAAGAAAATACAAAAACACACAAACAACTTAGCTCTCATTAACTTTCAAGTACATTTATTTTATGAACATACACACATTGCCTAACTTTAAGATAAATCCAAGTTGCATGCTACAATCTAATTGCTAAAAACGATTGTGCGTTATTAATATAATTATGAATGGAACGAAATTTTAATAGATGTCAATTATCTATTAATACTTTATTTTTAATTATTTTTTTGTAATTTCAGATTTTATGCACTTGCTGTTGCCTTATATTGTTTTGTAATATCCTCTGAGAATACTAAATTAACGATATTGGCCTCGCGAGAACAGGTGTGACTTCATTCGGGGACAATTTTTATAGTATTATTTCATTTCATTTCAAATTTAATAAGCAAGTCCAGTTTTTATGCAATTTTGTAACTATGCAATTTTGCAATTTTGCAAATATGAAGAGACTCAATGTTCAAACATGTCTTATTAACTTGATGGAACGCAGTTATTAACCATGTTGACTCAATGCCCTAATGCCTGTATCACCTTATACATTAAACATTAATGATCTGCAGATGCCAAGTCATGGGCGCCTTCGTTTGCATTATAAAGTGTACGAGATATGCACTGTATATCTTTGTAATATTATTTAATAGTCTTTATTAAGATTTAAATAAAAAAACACGGATAAGTTTTAATACGTATTTAATAAGTTGTGCATTGTTAAGTTAATATTTCTCGTGTACCAAATATTTTTTTAAGGAATTCCGTCCCTTCCACGACGCTCCCAATTTCAGTGACGTATTCATTAAAATACAAGCTTAAAAGTTTTCAGTGGCGTAATATCGTAGCAGTACCTAGCAATAATTGCCACGGTCAAATTATAAAAATATGTTTCGATGTAAAATCTTTTGTCGATGAGTTATAATAATTTCTAAATGAAATTACATTATTTTGTTGTTTTTTAATTATGGTTTATTGTATAAATGTTTTTTGTATAAATTTTCCTCGTTACAAGCAGTTCTCGGAAGAAATTGGTTTAGTTTCGTTCAATTTCGATAATCTAAAGTTCCGTAACCTCGTGTGACGCAATGCAGTACAGACTTTGCGGCGCTGTGTTTTTTTCCTTTAAGACTAGATTTCCGACGCCGCTCGCCCGTTTATTTATACGGAAACGTATTACATGTTATGATCTGTATTTATGTTTATAGCAGCCTTCAAATAGAACCTTAGATTTGCACTTTGTACGGTTTCCGTTCTTATTCCGTGATTTATATTGTTGTTGCAATACTGTACTGCACAACCAAAGAGTTGTGAAGGTTAATCTATACTGTGATTAATGGATTCGGTGTATATTTCTGGGTGAGATTTTCTATTCTGAAGAATGACTGCGTTCCAAGCTGAAGAGTGGGGTCCCGTAATATTAGAGAGACATAGACTTCACGTTTCAAAGTGAGTAGCGACATTGCGATGTCTCCGGTATGGATTCCGGTAAGCATTTAACATCAGACGGAACGTGAGGTTCTTCATTCGCACATACTATAATTTAAAAAATATATATCGGCTTGGAATATAGTCTCTGCTAATCAATAAAATATTTATTTATTAAACTTATAAAATTACTCATAACGAGTTTTCTTCTAAAAAAATATTCCTGAAGAATTTGTAATGAACACTAATACACCAAACATAAAGAACAAATCGCACAGAGTCAAACCTTCAAAACCTCTAAGCCCGGTGGAGCTTTAAAGTTTAATGAAGGCGTAATTCTTTTTTTTTTTGGGATGGGGGTATTCCCTGATAGCCCAAAGGCATTTCCAGCTCCAACGAGATGGGTGGGCGAAACTCAGCTCGGACGGGGAGATATTTTCTAACAATTGCCCGAGCGCGTCGGAGTGAGGTTATACAACTCTACTTGGCGAATTAATCTGCTACCACACCACATTAGAATGGCGACACACAGAAGATCCATCAAGAAAATCAGTCGGTCAGAGTTGGACCAAGTGCTATGTAATTACGGTGCCTTGTATTTTGCCTGATGTATTCTAATGCAAACTAGATGAATTCAAGAGCACCGATGGTGGATCCATCAGAACGTGTATAGGGAGTCGATGGTGATTGGTTGCTGCCTGAGCTGTATCATATAGGTAGCGGCGACTACCATTAAAGGCTTATCACACTGCCGTCATAAAACAGCGTTCCGACAATGTCTTTGTGGTCACGGAAGTCTGAATTACTCACTAAAATGACAATAAAAAATACGGGATTAAGTCACTTAAAAGTCGTTTTTATTATGTACTAGTTGACCCGGCTGATTTCGTACTGCCTCAATCGATAAATAAAAGACACATCAAGGGGACACATCTAAGGAAAAACAAAATTGTTTGTTTTTATATAATTCCAAGCATTTTCATATTTTTTCACCTTTTAAACCTTCTCTGGACTTCCACGAATAATTCACGACCAAAATAAGCTAAATCGGTCCAGCCGTTCTCGAGTTTTAGCAAGACTAACGAACAGCAACTCATTTTTATATACATAGAAGAAGAAGATAGATAAAGATAATATTCGCAAAAACCGATGAAAATACTAAACGTTCCACAGTGCTAATACAGCTAACCTTAGAAAGCGGGATTGTAATATTGGAGGGAGTCTATATTCGAATGTCGTACGCGTATGTTGGAACGGTGTGATATGACGTAAACACCACACTCGGATAGGTCAGAATGGGGCGAACACAAGTTTTATAATATAACCGTGTTACTAAAGAACAGTTTATTCCGCTTTGAAAACACAGGGTAGAGGGCGATTGCAGCTACACTTGACGGAGGTCGAGTGTCGATTTCCACCTTGTTTTAAAAACGTTAACAATCAACACACATCTAATATTTACAAATTAGAGTTAAACATAAAACAACATTTTTTATTTGTGAAATCTGGAAGTATCTTTCATAAAGCATGCCTTGATAATGTGTGAGTGTTTAGTCTCGAGTGCTTATAAACACGTAAAGTATATCGGCTAAATCGATCGGGCTCTTTCGAAATGATGCTTCGTCATACAAGTCGCAATTGATTTTTAGAAAATTATAATAATGGATGCGCTATACCACACCTCGTCATTACGAGGTACTAAGTTAATTTATAAAAATTGTGAGTGGATGAATAAAATGGGACCGGGTACTTACTTGTGCAGCATTTTACTCGTAGACGTAAGCTGCCGTTTCTGTAGGCAGTCACCCTCTTCACCTCTTGACGATAATTCTCGGGGACAGAGTTAATCGCGAACTACGATGCCGATGGCAGTTATATGTATAGCTCGTTTTCAAACATGTGAAGCTACGGATTTTGCGGGTTAATTAATTAATTTATTTTATACAATATATTATATTAAGTTCGACTTTTTTTCACTTTTTCAATATTTGGCGGCAATTTTCATAATGTCACAGATTATATACATTCTTATGCAGCAGTCTCAAATAAGGATTTATAGGTTGGTGACCTTTTTCAATATCGTAACTAGATGGCGTTACATGATAGACATGAGCTCTAGGACTTAGTTTTATAGTACAATGGCTGCCCCTATCTTATAACCGAAATGCATTACTGCTTAACCCCAACAATAGGCAGGATATTGGTACCTACCAGCACGGACTAACGAGATGCCCTAGTACTAGTACCTATAAATATACGTAACAATATAATAGCATATTATTATAGGCGATAAACTCATCTGTCATCTATTCTAATAAAAATAAACATAAGCACTTATTTTTACAGAACCTTTTCCAAAATAGTGTTGGTAAATGCATGTCCCTAAAAATCCTTCTACAAAAAATGTATTTTACTAATACTGCTGGTAGTAGTGCGTTTATTTATTTATTTATTGCTTGTATGGGTGGACGTGCTCACAGCCCATCTGGTGTTAAGTGGTTACTGGAGCCCATAGACATCTACAACGTATATGCGCCACCTACCTTGAGGTATAAGATCTAAGGTCTCAAGTATAGTTACAATTGAAGTATTTGGTGTTTAAGCCTCCGTACTATTTCAACCGTGATATAGTTGTACGTTTCTGTTTGAATCGTATTTAGCAGCTATCGTATTTAATATAAAACAGAGCCTTCGAACTCCTATCTCAAGGGAAGTGGCAGCATTTGCGTTATTGATGTCTCCGGGTCCCGATTACAACTTAGCACCAGATGAATGGAATGAGCCGTGAATGGAAGAGTTCCATGGAAGAGCTCCATTGACGGCCCATTCCCATTCCCATGTAAGCAATAAAAAAGATATCATGACTTGTATGAGGTCACTCAAGATTTAAGTATGAAATCGAGACGCATAGTTTATTTCAGCCAGAGATAGGCAGGGTGGCTTGACAAACCTTACCATAATTAATATAATTAGGGTATTTAACAAGTTAATCTCTACGCTATAATAATTTACAATTCCAATCGTATTATTTCGAAACTACTACTGCAGATTGGGTGACCATGAGGCAGCAGCAAAGTTTTTAACGGAAATGGGTGAATTGGCAATGGACAAAGGATTGAGAAAGCAACTGGGTCGCGCGCTGCATTTACTAGGAGAGCTACATTTGAGAAGAGAATGCCCTGAGCTAGGAACGCAGCATCTCTCTGAAGCTTTCGGCTGTTTCATGGGATTTCGATTTCAACAAGTTTGTGTTAAATTCTATTTGCAATGACGTAACTTATAAGCTTACAATATTAATTCCTGCAACGAAATAAAAAATTTAAAATGAAATCAGTTTGTAAAACTAACTTTAAAATTATGAATAATTGTGTACTTGTCAAACTTGAATTCTGTTTATTTGTATATTTAAGTCTAACTCAAAGAAAACATTATGTATGTAATTGAGAAAATTGTGATAAAAACAAGACTGTTGTAAGCCTGTTACTAAGCCTGTCTTTGGTAATAAGCGGTATGAAGAGCGGGGAGGGGGTCATGATAGAACACCCATGTTATTCTGCGCGCAACACAATTTGTTTAGTCCACAGATGCAGCCCACTGAGTTTTTCGCCGGATCTTCTCAATGGGTCGCGTTTCCGATCCGGTGGTAGATTCTGAAAAGCACTGCTCTTGCTAGGGCCCTTGTTAGCAACACTCCGGTTTGAGCACCGTGAACTCACCTACATGTTAGGGCAAGCTGAAATAGCCTCTCAAGGCTATCAGCATAGGTAGGATAGAAAAAAAAAACAATTTGTATCCTCAAATTGCGAGCCAGAAGAACAGGATTAAAATAATCATAACATTGAAAGAACAGGGTCACAATGACATTGTGATTATCTGTTCCTTTTTGGGATGGTAAAAAAAAACAATTATTTCATTATGAAATGAAGCAATTTCCTTCGTTTTTTATTTTAATTTGAAGCATTGGGAAGTTTAATTAAAACAAAAGAAAAATGGTTTTAAGATTGGTACTTTAGTTTAGTTTAGCGTTAAGTAAATGTTATGGTATCTAAGCATTGATATATAATTTATAACTACACCTTCTTACAGCCAAATCCTTCGAATATCATTGTCGAAAATGAATCGTCTCGTTTTGCTCTAGTATACGATTCGCAGAACACTGAGTTGTTTGAGGAAGAAGCAGAACAATCTAGACTTATGATGGCTGTGTCGGCAGGTATTATAAAAGTTACAACACACTAAGCAACAGTAGTAACCAACCTCCTTTGTTTGCATAGGACACGACGCTAATCTTGCTTAACCGGCTGAGATGGAAAATTTTGCTATTTATTTGCTAAACAAAATATTTCGCATTACTGCGTATTATTTTCAAGAAACTTTATTTTTATTTAACACTGATTTAATTAGAACACCGCTTGCTAAATTTCGAGACAAAGATATTGTTGCAAACGGAATTTTCATTTGTATTTATTACGTTTTAACATTAAAATTTGTGACAACAAAGCCTTTAAGCTATACTTAAACTAATTTTTTTTTTTTAAAGGTCAAGAACGAATGTCCTCCTACTTCAATTTACTAAAAGAGGCAGGCACATGTGCAGTGGCAAAAATGAAAATTATAGAATGGAAGTTATCCCACGCTGGATGGTGGGTGAAAAAACAACAACATGACTTTTTACCGTGTTCTTGTCCTGCACACAATCGAACTCCTTTAGATGTTCTCAAGTAAGCAACCTTTTCATTAACTATTCAATACTTGGTTAGTGGTAAATCTGATTACTTAATTCAATAAATGTTAGATTAATGCATTAAAGTTTTTTTTTTTATGGCAACGGAGCCAATAACGAGTCAAGCTCAATGCGTCGATGGCGTAGCCAAGCCAAACTCATTGCGAAATATTATCATTTAACCTAACATAAAACCACTAAACCAAAGTTTCTTATGAAAATGAATTATTGGGCGTTTTTTTTATTTTTTTTTATTGCTTAGATGGATGGACGAGCTCACAGCCCACCTGATGTTAAGTGGTTACCGGAGCCCATAGACATCTACAACGCAAATGCGCCACCCACCTCGAGACATAAGTTCTCGACGCCTTCGAACCGAAACGCATTACTGCTTCACGGCGGAAATAGGCGGGGTGGTGGTACCTACCCGTGCGGACTCCCAAGAGGTCCTACCACCAGTGATTACGCCAATTATAATTTTGCGAGTTTGATTTTTATTACACGATGTTATTCCTTCACCGTGGAAGTCAATCGTGAACATTTGTTGAGTACGTATTTCATTAGAAAAATTGGTACCCGCCTGCGGGATTCGAACACCGGTGCATCGCTTCATACGAATGCACCGGACGTCTTATCCTTTAGGCCACGACGACTTCATTTAATGGGCGTTAATGAGCTTTAAATCTTGCATGTAGATACAAATGCTTACAAAGAAATACATACTTAACACGTATTTATGAACGATTTCCTTAATGATAGAGTAGTAAAAAAGTCGTTAAATTTAAAATTTTAGCCGAATTAACCTCTAATAAAGAATATAAAAAAAAAAAAAATTTTAATCATTATTTATTGTGAGTAGGGATTACGACTCCACCTATTTGTGCAATGCGAAAGCAATGATGCAATTAGATTTGAAGGCCTAGACTGCTTGTATAAGATTGTATAAACAATACACCTGAACATCCGTCTCATGTCTCAAGGTACTTGCGATATTTTCGTTGTGATATGGGCATTATGGAAAACAAAGCAGAATGAGCTCATCTGCCCATCTAGAGCAAAAAAATGCAAAGAATCACAGCAAAAGGTTTCAAGTTTTTATAAAGGCATTAATGTAAAGTAATTTGTAGAATNAGACTGCTTGTATAAGATTGTATAAACAATACACCTGAACATCCGTCTCATGTCTCAAGGTACTTGCGATATTTTCGTTGTGATATGGGCATTATGGAAAACAAAGCAGAATGAGCTCATCTGCCCATCTAGAGCAAAAAAATGCAAAGAATCACAGCAAAAGGTTTCAAGTTTTTATAAAGGCATTAATGTAAAGTAATTTGTAGAATTCAATTGGAATTGAGAGAATTAGCGGAAAACACATTAATGGAGCCATCCGAAGGCGATGCCTTGTTTGGTAGAACAGATACAACTGACGATATAAGAAAACTTCGAAGCAGCTTCTATTATTCCTAATCGATTTATTTACTATATGTGTGTTTTATTTAAATAAAACGTCGTATGAATTACTCAAATTTCCATTTATTTTATGTAATATTTTTCTCATTAAACGTACCTTAAATACCTATTTACAAACTTAATTTATTCGTAATTGAGCAATTTCTCCGTGCCCATCTTTGTACCTTCCCTATTTAAGAGCTCTACCACCATTTGAACGTCTTTGTTTTAGTATCAATAATAATTTATTCAGTTCACTGTTATCACATTAAGTTAAGATCTTTAAGAACATGAACTATCTAAATATGAATTTCTTGTTAAAGACTTAAGCGTCAAAAGTTATTGATGTAGAAGCTATTTAGCAAAAAATAATATAAATATGAATACAAATTTAAAGGTTTATTTTGTATATCGCTTAAATCACAAATGACTGCTTAAAGTTTATTAACTGAAATCTTGAAATTTACAAAGACATTTGATTGATATATCATGTATTGTTGTGATTAATTTGGTCATGCTGGTTATTAATTTTGGATTCAAATTATTATTTTAAGCCTTGGCCATTCTCTTGCGGGGCTGTAAGCGTACTTGGAATCCTTCGGCCCGTTTCAGAATGATGTCCGCTTGCAGTTTGAAATCTGACTCCTTAAGATCTGATATTACTCGGAAATTTCTCAAAATTGTAGAAAGGATCACCTTCAATTTGAGCATTGCGTATTTACGTCCTGTGAATACAAAACAATTGAAGTTACAGTATATGCAGTCGTTGATCAGTGGTTAAGCTGGAAATTTTGAAATAGATTTCATAGCTACTCACCAACGCAACTTCTTGGTCCAGCTGAAAAAGGCACGAACGCATAATAATGTCTGTTGGCGGAACGTTCCGGAAGGAAGTTGTCAGGGTCAAATTTGTTTGGATTTGGGTAAACGTCAGGGCGGCGATGAAGTTTATATGTAGCTATCACCAATGTTGTTCCGGCTGGGATTTTCTTTCCATTGGATGCTGCAAATTTTTTTTTTTTATATAAATCAATTTAATATAATTTTACATAGATTTTTAATGTTTTGTTGACGGTACGCATGATTATGTTTTTTGTACTCACGTAAGGTGATTTCTTGATTAACTTGCCGAGCGATGATCGGCACTGGCGGGTATAATCTCAGAGTTTCCATAAGGCACCTTTCCAAGTACTTCATCTCCAAAGTGTCTTGGAACGTAACTGGGCGATCTGAGTCACCAAATATCTGGTCCAGTTCTTCAATGACTTTGTCTTGTATATCTTGATGAATACCCATCATTGATAGGAAGAAACTGCTTCCGGCAGCTGTTGTGTCGTGACCCTGTACAATATTTTAAAGTTAATAACAATTTATCATTAAGTAATGATAAAATCGTCGTTTTAATTTTGTATACCTCAAACATGATAGTGTCTACTTGTTCTTTGATTTCCTCGTCGGAAATGGCCACACCACTTTGTGAACTCTCCAGCAACAGATCAAGGAAGGCCAAACGTTTCTTTTGTCCGACATCATCGTCAACGTCTAAGTCATCCTTGAGACCGGATGATTGGCCGAAAGAAAGTCCTTCCACTGAAGTCAATTTCCCCGTAGACGGCTCACTTGTGGTGGCGGTTTCATTCAAATTGGACGGCTTCTTACCAGATGCGAATTCTTCTTTCTTCCTCTTTATTACCTGAAATATCAGTACTGTCAATACAATGTTTTTCAAAAATGTTTGGGTGGTCACTCTTTGATTGACTACTTTTTGGAACCTCCGGATCCGCTCTCGGTGCGTTAGGCTCTTCAAACACCGGTAACCGTTCTCGTCGAACTCGTCGACTCCTACGAAGAGTTCCGCGTGCGAACTAGCCCATTGACACAACCCACAGAGCTACTCGCCAAATGTTCTCAGTTGGTCGCGATTCCGATCCGGTAGTAGATTCAGCGAAGCACTGCTCTTGCTAGAGCTAGTGTTAGAAATTCTCTCAGGTTGAGCCCGTGAGCTCACCTACTGGTCCGCGTGAAATTGGAATTGCCCCTTAGGCTACCAACGATTAGGTAGGGTCAAAAAAAAAATACTTTTTATGTAATTACAATGTTCGGGCAACTATATTTTAAATATTTTATGTGAGCCATTCAAGCTTCGCAATATAAACATTCAAAACAAACGTTGTTTTATGTCTACATTTCATTAAAATTCTTTAATTGTCCGATATTAAGATGTACATATGTGTGACTTGAATAACTAACCTTTTTAGTCAAGCCATGAATTATATCAAGGAGCTTGGTTTGGTTTTTAGCGTAATCTGTAAATTTAAATAACAAATCCGGTCGCAGCCAAATCTTTGTGTGTCTCAAGTGAAGTATATCGCACATTTTCATAACGGCCATAGCATATTCGAATCCGCTTTGATCTTGTGTACTCTTGCTCACACCCATAGCAGTTTCTGTAAAAAAATATCAATGTTTTTTTTCTCTAAGACTGAAATTAAACTACCGGAGCTTAAAAATTAGAAATCGAATGCTTTTTGAGAATAATAAATGGCTCAGTTTACACCTAGTAAGTATTAAGCTGTTATCGGGGCCTCTAGACATTCCCACGTGATTGATCAAATGAATATTTGGTTTATTTATTAATTTATTACACTTCATGTTTTTATCTACATTGGCTGACTTAATACCTAGGCATTACAAAGCATACCTAAGTCATTCTCTACCAGTCTTTTTATATCACTATATAGTATTGGCATCGTTAAAAATTTGTTTTTGAACTCATGTTAGTTAGGTATATTAAAATGTCGTAGGATCACACAAGCAGACGAAATACCTACTTTCAATATTTTTTTTTATTTTTTTTTATTGCCCATTTGCTGGAAAAGGCTATTAAGGTTTTGACAGAAGCATAATAAAATACTCATAATACAAAGATTCTGCACCAGGTAAATATAAAACACAAACACCAATAATAATTTTCATTCTGTTGGTAGAAAACACGGTGTCCGTCTTCGCTTTTCTATGAAGAAAACTATATTTGATTTACTGGAGTACCTACTATTGCAGGAACACCAGTCAAATATGTATAACAGATGCTATCTTTATCTCACATGAATTAATTATTAGACTACTAAAACATTTCTCAAAACAGCAATTAAAATCGATTAATAAAATTGCTTATTCATAGAGATGTAACACGCGATTAAGTGCTTGCAAAATCGAGATAATCTGTTGGACGTGTATTGTAAAGGTTACCGAAAAGAAAGAGCTCTTGACCTCCATAATTTTCGGACTGGTTGAGTAACAAAGTTCGCATATGGAAGTAAGTCAAACGCAAATGGTGAATATGGGCCATTAATACGTGTTCATGTGGGGGGTCTCCAAACTTGACACTCGGTAATCAAACAGCGCGTGCTTCATGTACGATTCATTGAATACGAGTAAGTACTAGAAGAAAGAAATGTAAGCATTCTTGTTATTAATGTTCTTTTAATATGTTTTATATTTTTGTTGCGTATTACGTAATGTGATTCTTAGATATCATTTTGACAACCTAAAACTTAATAGGTAAAAAAGCGATCAAAATACCTATAAAATTTCGGATAGTTTCTCGAGAAACGTCTCGATAACAGCGTTTCGTGTTTATTCAAGACAAACCGACAATATTGGAACACGCTCATAAAAAATCAGAATATTTTTTGTAAATTTTATATATTCCTTGATTGTCAGATTAAATCAGCCTGTTATAAAAAGAATTGGAATCGTTGAGGAATACGCTTATTTTTTTATTATCCTGGTAGGCAGGCAGGATACGGCTCACCTGATCGTGAGCATCTCAAACAATTCCTCAGAGCACTCCCCATGGAACATACGGTACAAAACACAGAGGGAACTGAAATCCCTCCGCTGACTCAGAGGTTCCAAACGATTCGTGAGAATGGAATTATTGACATTCCGAACGGCCCTCTTCTGTATGGAGTCAAGTGGAAGAAGCTGGTATTTGGGAGCCCCAGCCCAGAGATTGGAGCCGTACTCCACGCCAGGCTGGACTTGTGCTTTATAAAGCAAAAGTCTTTGTTCAGGTGTGAAGTACCGCTTCGCTCTGTTGAGGACTCCCAGCATTTTCGACGCCATCTTGGGTTTGCCTTCCAAATTACTCCGAAATTGGACATCCCTCGAAATGTTGACCCCAAGTATCCCGATACTTTCGGAAGGTTGCAGGTATACTCCTTGGAATTGCAGCACCGTGTCAAAGGGGTCCTTCTTCGCAGTGAATGCGCAAACTTGTGTCTTCGACGGGTTTTAATTGAACCAAAAATATATATAACTTAGTGCGTAAACTATTCAAATAGCCACCATAATTATCGTAAATATTACGAATGTATTTCTGCAATTAACTTTAATAGGTATTCTATACTTTCAAGCTAAAATGACCATTATTAACTTTACGTGACATAAATCACGTTATGAAAACACAGAAATCATTACACAGAATGCGTACGTGAAACTACGTAATGACCAACATGCAATACATAAATAGCTATTTGCTCCTAATGACAGTTTTGATGCAGATTGGAATATTGCGAGAAAACGGAAATTTTAAATTTAAATCATTATCAATAATTTAATTTTCTTTTTTTTTCTTTTTTTTATTGCCTTTGTAGGCAGACGAGCATGCGGACCACCTAATGGTAAGTGGTCACCGGCGCTCATGGACGTCAGCAATGCCAGGGGCAGAGCCAACCCGCTGCCAACCATTAAGTACTCTCCGCAAGCCTCGTTTGAAGAAGAACATGTCATAGCGCTCGGAAAACACCGTGGAGGGGAGATTCATTTTACAGATTTAAGTGAAATATTGTACATTATATGTTTACATCTGACTTATTACTTTCAAACAATGTCACTGATTATACGATTAATAGTGTATATTTATTGCCTACAATATTTTAGTGTGATACCTAAGAAATGTGCCGATATTTCATAAAACATTCGCTTATGGTTAGCTAATAGAAACATCTAGTGTCCAATCTCGTTGCGAGTTTTGCAAGCATTTTAA